GGGGTGCAGTGTCCTCATGACATGCCACGTGTTGTCAATACATTGAATACCTCGCTAACGTTGTGTTGACTGCCACACTTTGAGGTCCGACGCTTTTCAGGCACCCGCATAATGTCATTTTTGTTGTTGTTGTTTTGTTGTTAGCTTTTTACGTCGCTCGCAACTACATTACGTCATTTGAGGGCACAGGACACGTCAAACATTTTTAATGGGTGGTTGGCGGGTGCTCTGGTGTGGTTTGCTCCTTCTTTCCTATCAAACATCTATCGTCCTTATCTCCCCTTCTTCTTTTTTCTGTTTGTTACTCTCTTGTAACCCCTCTCATCTCTGGCGCTCATATGACCCGATGTAGCTGAGAGCGCCATAAAACCTCTACTAAAAAAATACAGTTTTAGTTTGGTAGGAATGATTTTAAATTTTGTCCGAGTGGAAGCCGAAGCCTACTCTTTTCGATTTTAGAACCACCAAGAGATCTTTAACGTGCATAATTTGCACAGGTGGTTGTCTTCTACAGGTGGTTGTCTTCTACAGGTGGTTGTCTTATACAGGTGATTGTCTTGTACAGGTGGTTGTCTTATACAGGTGGTTGTCTTATACAGGTAGAATATACAGGTGGTTGTCTTATACAGGTAGAATATACAGGTGGTTGTCTTATACAGGTAGAATATACAGGTGGTTGTCTTATACAGGTGGTTGTCTTATACAGGTGATTGTCTTATACAGGTGCTTGTCTTATACAGGTGGTTGTCTTATACAGGTGGTCGTAAGGGCAGGTTTGACGCTCCACGAACGCTTCACTTTCGGACAAAGCTTCGACTTTGTTATTTTCCCAATTTGTGACAAATCACGATCTTGTTAGATACGCGGTTTTTAATTCAAAAGGCAGTGTGCGAGATCTGAGCTGCCAGTGCATGTCCAATGGTACAATGTATTCCGCGTCATGCAATGTGTGTGGCAGAGCGGGCAGACCGCGCCGTTGGTCCAAGTGATGAAGTCAAAGATACCGACAGTAACCTGTCTCTTGGCCAATTTTGAACCATTTTATTTTCAGCTCAAAACCCTTTATCTCAAATTAAACACATTTCTGGGTGGATTTACAGAAACACGTTGATCAAAGGCACAACAATGTACATCTGTAGTTTCCAAGGACTCTACACATTGGAAAGTCAACTAACTTTGGCGGCCATTATCTCGCTACTTTTCCCCGAGACAGCAGACGACCCTCACCTGCTTCAGTCGCGAATCTCTCAACTTGTTCACTACAGGTGTAGGGGGAAGCCGGGGAAACAAACAAACGTTACGACTCTCTACACCCCAACATTGACGAGCGCAAGTGTGGTGTACAGTACTACATGATACTACTTGATACCACATGATACCTGTTATTTCCCAAGTGTGTGTGTGTGTGTATGTATGTATGTATGTATGTATGTATGTATGTAT